GGGGGGCAGTGGCGGGGGCCTGCTGGGCGGTGGTGGTGGCCTCTTGGGTGGTGGCCGTCACCGTTACGATGACTACAGAAGCGCTGAATTCCCCCGAGGTGTCGGTGGTGTCCCTTACAATGACTTCCATGTCCGAGAGCCTCCCCCCAAATACACCAATGGCAGACAGCTTGGTGGCAATTACAAATACGGGCACATTGACACCAACGACAACACTGCCCAGCTGGGGGGCAAGTACCGCTACGGAGAGATCCTGGAGCCCGACGGCAGCATCCGCGACCTCCGCAGCGGCGACGATCGCGGCAGATACCGTTCCGCGGAAGGTGCAGCCCTCGGGGACCACCGGCATCACCGCCACCGGCGAGAGCTGCGGCCTGGGGAGATCCCAGCTGGGGTGGCCACCGGGGCCCTGGGCCCTGGGGGCCTGCTGGGCTCGGGCGGCATGCTGGCCAACGAAGGCATCCTGTCGGGCCAAGGAGGCCTGCTGGGCGGAGGCGGTCTCCTCGGGGACGGAGGACTTCTTGGAGGAGGCGGCGTCCTGGGTGTGCTCGGCGAGGGCGGGATTCTCAGCACCGTGCAAGGCATCACGGGGTGAGGACAGGGGGCCTGCACCCAAGGGCTGGGGCGGGGGTGCCTGGTCTCCAGGACAGGGCCTGAGGGCTGGACGTCTTAAGGGTCCCAAGTCACACGGTTTGGGGGCTTGGTGTAGAAGAGCCCAGAGCCTGGACGCCGCTCCACCGGGGTCTGCTGAGTCTCCTTTCCTGTCCCCGAGGCTCGGTTTCCTCATCTGTGGGAAGGTCAGGGAAATGAAGGCAGGAGGATGGGCCCAAGGGTTCCCGACCGGCAGCCCGTGTCGGCCGTCTCCCGTCTTCACCTCACATCCCTCATGATTCCACCCAGCCCAGAGCCACTCAGTCCAACAACACGCAGGGCTCCTGGCAGCTGAGGGACACCGAGTTGACACTGGGACCAGACCCAGTGGTTAGCCATGAATGACATCGCGTCTCCAGGAGCCTGCGGCGTGTGGGGCAGCAGCTTAGGAGACTGTGATCCAGTTATGAGCGGCCTCCTCTGGAGGTCAGGGGAGGCTTCCTGGAGGAGGAGGACCTTGGCCCAAGGCTGGAGAATGGACAGGAGGGAACCAGGCAGGGGGTGGGGACACGCAGAAGGGATGGCACCTTGGTGTGGAAAATGTTCGCGGGAAGTTCCTGGAGACACCCACAGTGGGCTGGCCCGGGGCTGGGGCCAGGCGTCCCCCCCCCCACCGCCTTGACATCTCTGCAAGCTGCACATTCTGCCCCTGAACCCCAGGTCTCCTTCCAGTCGGGGGGATGGATGGGGAGCAAAGAAGGGGTGGGGGGGCAGCCTCTCACCAGCCCTCCCCCCTGCAGGCTGCGCATTGTGGAGCTGACCCTCCCGCGGGTGTCCGTGAGGCTGCTGCCCGGGGTGGGCGTCTACCTGAGCCTGTACACCCGCGTGGCCATCAACGGGAAGAGGTGTGCGCCCTGGGCCCTGGGGCTCCCTGCTGGGCGGGTGGGCCAGGGGCTGCCCTCGCTCCACCTGGTCCCTGTATCCATGACGCCGGGAGCCCCAGTTTGGGACTGAGTCACCCCGCGGTCTTGCCAGCAGTGAGGATGGCCCAGCGCCATGGTTGAGGAGGTTGGAGGTGGGGCTGGCCTGGGCTCCATCCTACAAGCTGCGTGACCTTGGAGGGGTCTCTTGATGTCACTGAGCCTTAGTGTCAGCACCCGCACTGGAATAGTAGCCCACCTCCCAGGTGCCTGCCACAAAGTAGGTGCTCAGCGGGGGCTTGAGAAGCAGACTTCTGTATTCATTATCCCCGAGATGAGGTGGAGCCTGCAGCTGGGGGATTGTTACCTTGGAAACCAGATGCAACCCCCTTCCCAGCCTCTGGAGCTTTCTTAGGCTGAGCTGGGGGGGGGCGGTTCAGGGACACCTCCTGATTTGAGCAAGGGACAGGGTGAGCCAGGGACATGGCAGATGACAGGAAGGGCCAGCCAGGGCTGAAGGGGGCGGGAGAGGCTCTGCAGGCTGTGAGAGGTGCGCCCCCTGGTGGCCGGGGTGTGACTCCGGTGTCCTTGGTTGGCTCCAGTCTCATTGGATTCCTGGACATCGCCGTGGAGGTGAACATCACGGCCAAGGTCCGGCTGACCATGGACCGCACAGGCTATCCGCGGCTGGTCATCGAGCGCTGTGACACCCTGCTGGGGGGCATCAAAGTCAAGCTGCTGCGGGGGTGAGTACCAGCAGGCGCCTCGTGACCGGGGGATGATACAGCCGCCTCTGGCAAACAAATGGCACCACTCACCTGCGCATGTCCCTGGAGGGGACAGTGATGTCACAGAGCAGTGACAAGTCACACTGGACCATCCACTCTCTGCTCAGTGTATCTGGGTCGGGGAGTGAGGGTTTTGCGTTTTTTGTTTTTTTCCGATTTTACTTTCTCCACAAACTGTCCAAGACCCCACTCTGCCCAGAGGTCTTCAGGTGCCTGTATTGGCCAGCACAAGTCCCCAGGTGGAGGTCCTGGACGGGGGCGAACTCAGGACGGCTGGAAGCCAGCTCCCTCCCCTTTACCCCCGTGCACACCGTGGGAGCGCCTGCTCCAGCCTGTCTCAGGGGTCTCTGTCCCCCTTCTCCCCGTCTTACCAACCCTGGCCACGCGCCCCCTGCTCATGGGGGCCTCTCTGAGCCTCTGTTTCTGCTTCAGGGAGGAGTGTGGCAGAGGGAATCGGGTGCTGGGGCCCAGAACATAGGAACCCCGGGGACTTTTAAATTCACATTTTACCATCATACATATTCTGTAATACACAGTTCAAAACTGTAGAATGACAGAAAGGTGAGGAGTGACGAGGGTCCCTCCCGTCTCACCTCCTCTGTCCCTCCCGTCCCACCTCCTCTGTCCCTCCTTTCCCACCTCCTCTGTCCTCCCACCCTGCTCACTGCGGTTATTCACTTCTTAATTTTCCTCCCAATTTCTTTTTCTTTTTTTTTTTTAAATGAAGCAAACATGTTCATTCTTTCTTATCTGCCCCTGGTTTTAATGCTGATGGGTGCCCGCTGTAACCACCCCTCCCTCAGGAGGATATTCTGCATCCAGACACAGCACGTGTCCCTGCTGCTTCATTTTGCAGAGCTGTGTAATATTCCATGGGGGAACCACCATCTATTTGCTCAGTCCCCTACGGCTGGGCATTTCAGTTTCTCCAACCTGCTGCTGTGACAATGAATTACCTTTTGCAGATGTCATTTCACAGTGACCTGATTATCTGTTAGGTAACTTCCCAGAGGAGAAAAGGGTCTGGGCCCTTTTACATAGATTCATGGCAAACTGTCCCCCGACACGCACACAGGCGCACAAGCCCCCTTGTGTGTACTCGCATGACTGTTCTCAAGGGCCATCATCAAGGAGGACCGGAACCAGGCTTAGTCTCCTGAAGGTGGATCCACCTGAAGGGGTCCCAGGGTGAGCTTTCGGGGAACTCTCTAATTAGGGCTTTGCCTCAGGTAATTCTTAGTCACCTCAGCTCGGCGCTGGACAGCAGCTCTGCCCTTGGGCACCCTTTGGTGTGAACCCCAGGAGCATAGTTTATTGGTTAGTATTTCTTCTTCTGTCCCTTCCACACACACTTACTGAGCCCCTGGAATGTTCTAGATCCTGCTGTGATAAAGCAGCGAGCTCCTTTGACCTCTGCAGCCAGCAGCCCCACAGAGGGCGCGGGAACCAGGGAAGGACTAGGAATCAGGAGCGGGCAGCCTGGCCAGGCCACCGGAGAGCGGGCAGCCTGTCTTGATGGGTGGACGGACGAACGCGCGGCCCCTGCTGGCCGGGAGCCTGCTCCGGGTGGCCGCACTCTCTGTTGCTGGCACAATTGTCCAGCTCAGGGGTCTCACTGCCCAGAGGCGCCCCAGGGCAGACAGTCCTGAGAGCCCCTCTGTCTGCGCCTGGCCTTGACCCTGCCCCGTGTCCCCAGGCTTCTTCCCAACCTCGTGGACAACTTAGTGAACCGGGTCCTGGCCAACGTCCTCCCTGACTTGGTAAGAACGGGGTGGAGGGCACGGGCACCTGCAGACCAGGGCCACAGTCCAGGGACACAGAGGTGACCCGGAGAGATGGAGGGAACCAGGAGCCGGGACGCGTTCTTGGGGGCCTGGGAAGGACACGCGGCTCCTGGGGACAGATGAGGAGAGGGACAGGAGGGCGAGGGTCGGCACCACCCAGCCCTGGGCTCCCTGCGGCTCCAGCTCCTTCCGGCTGTGTGACGAGGCTGGTCACCTCCCTGGGTCTCCAAGGTGGCCATTCTGACCGAGCCTCCCCCCCCCCCCGGGGCAGGGGGAGGACAGCGCGGGGCGCAGAACAAGCCTTAGCCGTGGGCACTGGGGGGCGGCTCCCTCCCCAGCTCCCTGATGTCACCAGCGCTCTGTGACGTCTCCCTGCAGCTCTGTCCCATCGTGGACGTGGTCCTGGGTCTCGTCAACGACCAGCTGGGGCTCGTGGACTGTGAGTTCCTTCCTCCCGGCTGCATTTGGCCGAGGCCTGCTAACGGCAGCTCAGGGCCCTACCCGGGGACATGCCACACCTGGGAGGAGGCCCTGTGACCTGGCCTTCCCTCTGTCCCCACATCCTGGTGGGGGTTTGCTGGCCCTGTGCGCCTGGACCTGGAGCCTTGGCTGCACCCCAGGCCGCCCGTGACCCCGCCTCTGCCTGCAGCTCTGGTCCCGCTGGGGATCCTGGGGAGCGTCCAGTACACCTTCTCCAGCCTGCCCCTGGTCACCGGGGAGTTCCTGGAGCTGGACCTCAACGTGAGTGCTGGCCTGGCCCGGGGGTGGCCTCCTGCCCGGGGGCGGGGTGAAAGGAGGGGCCCCTGGGGCTCCCACTGGGTGCTTGGGGAGCAACGTCTGAATGGGACCCTTTTCCAATTAGATGGGGACCTTCTAGGAGCCCTGTTAGGAATGCAGTCTCAGCCGGCCCCTCTCCAAAGCCTGCTGTGCAGCAGCCATGTTTTCCATGCTGTGTGCAGATTCATCCAGTCTGTCCTCACAGCAGCCACAGGGACGGGGGCACGCTGACTGAGAACACACAGGCACAGAGAGGTTAAGCCAGTGGTTCAGGGCCACACAGCTAATAACGTGGACCAGGGGCCCAAGTCAGGCCACCTCCCTGCTGGTGGAGCTGCACCCAGGAGCCAGGGCTTGAACCTGACAGTGAAGGCTGTAGGCATTTGACAAGGGCTCCCCGTGATTAAAAAAAAGTCCGATTGGCAGCATTCGCTGATTTCCAAGGCACAAACACTCCCCCCAGAGCCAACTTCAAGCTACCACAGGACATCTCTGAGAGGGTTGGAAGACATGTGACACTGGGTCTCACGCAGTGGCCCCGACCTGGCCCTACTTGTGCACAAGCACACAGACTTAGGTGGGTCCTCTGAGACCACAGACCTGGAGGCCTCCTCACTCCCCCCAGCAGTTCAGAGCAGCAGGTGCACCCCCTCCTGAGGCCCCAGGCACACCTCGAACCTGAGGTGCTCTAAACACACCCATTCCACAGACATTTGGCAGTTACCCGCCGTGTACCCAGGACCCGGTACAGCAGTGAGGAAGACAAAGTCCCTGCCCTGAGAGAACTTGTGATCTATTGTGATGTAGGAGGCTGAGGCAGGAGGATCAAGAGTTTGAGGCCAGCTTCAGCAACTTAGTGAGATCCCCATCCCATCTCAAAATAAAATTTAAAAATAAAGGTTAGGGGTGTAGTTCCTGGTTCAGAGGCACTGGGTTCAAACCCCAGTACTAGAAAAAGAAAAGTGTGTGTGTGGAGGGGGGATTGAGAGAGAAAAAGAGAAATGGTCACTCAATAAATACACAATTATTAATCTAATGTTGTAATGGAGCCTAATGTGGGGCACGTGATGCATTCAGGGAGGTCCGGGAGGGCTTCCTGGAGGAGGTGGTCTTGAACTAAGATGACTGAGGCACACAAGGAGAGTGCAGGGAGGTCCGCGGGAAGGCCCATTGCGGGTGGCGAATCCCCGGTGGCTGCAGTAGGAAGGTGAGGGCAGAGTGGCTGGAGGTGAGAGGCCGCTCGCCACACCAAGTGCTGAGACCCAGGGCTCTGGTCCAAGGGGCTGCCTGTGCGGGTTCAGGGCCAGGTGTCCGCCCTCAGCCTCCCTCTTCTCCCTCCTCCCTGCCCTCCTCCCTGCTGCCCAGACTCTGGTGGGCGAGGCCGGCGGAGAGCTCATCGACTACCCACTGGGGCGGCCAGCTGTGTCTCCCAAGCAGAGGATGCCCGAGTTGCCGCCCATGGGCGACAACACCAACTCGCAGCTGGCCATCTCGGCCAACTTCCTGGGCTCCGTGCTCACCCTGCTGCAGAAGCAGGGGGCGCTGGACATCGACATCACCGACGGCATGGTGAGTGGCGCCCCCTAGGGGCGGGCTGGGACTGTGCCCTGGAGGGAGAACCAGACGGCCCACCTCTCGGCTCCACCCACCTGCTCGGCTCCACCCACCCCACTCGGCCCCACCCACCTCACTCGGCTCCACCCACCTCACTCGGCTCCACCCACCCCGCTCGGCTCCTCCCACCTCGCAGTCAGCTCCCTCGCGTTCCCTGCGCTGCGCTCACAGACCAGACCCTGAGCAGCGCTGTGGCACCATGAGCCTGCGGAGTCTGTTTAATATTCTGTCCTGTCTAAAAGAGGCACCGTAGAGTCACACGTATGTCTCTCCACATAAACGTGAAGACTCCCTTGGCCAATGTTGGCACTTCGGGAACTAAAGTAGGTGGGGACGAAACACCACCCAGAGCGCGCTCCTTGATCATTTCCTGTCCAAACTTTCTCTTGAAAAATGTCAGACCTTAAGAAAAGTTTCAAGGTGGGACAATGTATGCTCACATGACCTTCACCTGACCACCCATTTACCATATGTGCATCCTGTCCATTGTCTGTCCATTGTCCTGCCCATCCAGCCACTCACCCACCCATCATTCACCCAGCTGCCCACCCACCTATCCATCCAACCATCCATCATCCATCCATCACCTGTCAGTTATCTGTCCATCTGTCTGTCATCCACCCACCCATCCATCCCTCCATCCACAATCTGTCAGATATCTGTCCATCCATCCATCCACCGACCTATCTGTTGAACAGTTGGGGCTTCTTGAGGCCCCATGGGATTTGCTCCCCAAACCACCTCCCTGTTCCAAGAACAGGTGTCCACAAACAAAACAAGCAACAAGAAGCCCATACAAACGCTGGCGCTGTTTGATTCCACTTAGTGACCTATACACTCTGCCCCTGCAGTTAACTAGGAGAAAACAGACACTGGCTTCATGGTTGCGGCCTCTTTCTGTCAAGAGGTGCTGGCTTTCCACTCTTTTTAGTATCTGAGGTCTTAGGAAGTGAGTTAAGCCGGGCACCATGGTGCACACCTGTAATCCCAGCGGCTCTGGAGGCCGAGGCAGGAGGGTTGCAAGTTCAAAGCCAGTCTCAGCAATGGAAAGGCGCTAAGCAACTCAGTGAGACTCTGTCTCTAATAAAATACAAAATAGGGCTGGGGATGGGGCTCAGTAGTTGAGTGTCCCTGAGTTCCACCCCAGTACCTCCCCACAAAAGTGAGTTGGTTTAGGGAAGATCTGAAACCAATGGCAGTATCAGGGATATGGCAGAAGTCATGGGCCAGGGACCCAGACATTGCAAAGGGGCCCGACAGCGCTCCCCGTGCCTTAGCAAAGAGTCACACGTCTGCAGAAGAAAGGTTCGGGCCTCGCCTCGGTTCTTCAGGTGGGGGCTATGGTGAGCCTGGTCTACACAGTGGCCACTTCTGGACAGGCGGGGCTTCCCAAGGGGTCCTTCAGGGAAAGGAGATGGTTCTGGTCACCATGTTGGCAATGCCCGTCTGTCCCTGTCACCTCGGGACTCACATGACCCTTTTCCTTGTCCTACAGTTTGAAGAGCTTCCTCCGCTCACCACGTCCACACTGGGAGCCCTGATTCCCAAGGTATGTAAGCCAGGCAGGCGCCACTGTCCTCCACTGTCCCCCACCAGCCATCCCAGGTACCAGGCTCTGGGGAGGATGCCCAGCACTGGGGCAGCTGCTCGCCTGTCTTCCTGAACTGAGGGGCGCGGAGGCAGGAGGGGAAGGAGCCTGAGCTCTGTCTGCAGACCAGCTGGTGAAGTTCTGGTCCTGGCCCTCCACTCCTTCACTGTGTGACCTTGGACAAAAGTTGTAACCTCTCTGAGCTCTATTCCCTCATCTGTCAAAAAATGCCCACTGACACCTCTTCCACGGGTTCAGGTATCTAGGGGAGGAGAAGGGATAAGGCGGTCAAGGTGCCGACACAGGGCCAGGCACACGAGAACTGTGAGAGCCTGGAGGGGAAGAGCCAGGTCCTTGGAGGTGACCCAGCTCAGCACAATCCAGCCCATTGCTGTAGGCAAATGGCCTCACCTCTCCCACTTTTCTCATCTGGAAAATGGGGATAGCAGTTTTCACCCTGAAGGGTGGCCCTCGACAGGAATCTGGAACCCAGATACAGAGCAGGCATTTGGCGATGTAGTTACTATCTTTGCTCTTAATAATTACAAGTTGTTATTATTTATTTATTTTTAAAGAGCAAATGCACTCTTGTCCCGTTGTTGAGCCGGTCTCTGGTGCTGGCCCCCTTGCTCCTGGCAACAAAGATCCCTGTTCAGAGTTACAGCCCTTTGTGGCTTTCCCCAACTCTGCCCGCCCCCTCTAGTTCCCGGCGGAGTCAGAGGAGGCAGGAGCAAAGCCTGGGTCCTGGGTAGGGAAGAGATGGGACTCACCAGATGGTCGCTATCGCCCTCGTGTGGTTGAGAGTGGAACGTCAGAGGCACCGTCCAATGTCAGAAGCAGCAGCAGCTCAAGTGGCCAGGCTGTCCTCCATCGCGGGGCCTTTTATTTATTGGGCCACTTCCCACGCGCACTGCATTTTACAGCTTTTGAGAATTCGGTCCTATTTATCCCCCTCCCACGCAGCCAAAATGGACAAGCACCTCATTTTACAGATGGGGAAACAGAGGTCCAGGGAGTCACCCAATGAGGCAGCCCCAGAGCAGGCGTTAGGCCTCCAGATAGCCACAGGCCCGCTGCAGCGGGGTCAGGCAGGGCGCGACGCCTCCTGTGTCCTGGAGGCCCACCTGGGGTGGAGTCACGGGGGAGGCGTGGTCAGCGCCGAGACAGGCACCCCCAGGGATCTCTGTGCAGGGGCACTGCTAATTCTTGGGGGACTCTGCACATTCCAGTCTGGGTGGTTGGGACCCCAGAGCCCTCCAGAAAAGTGCCCTGACAACCCCCCACCCCGCGAAAAGCCAATAGTAAGGTATTGACTCCTTGAAAGTCCGTCTGCCCAGGGATGTGTTCAGGGACTGGCCAAATGGAGGAATTAACTAAATTTACCCACTGACCAGGAGCTTGAACAGAAGAATTCGTCTGGCACATATTCGAGAAATGAATAGAATCTTTTTAGGACCCGACCTGCCCTGTAGCATTGCATATGGCAAAGTTTCCATGGAAACAGCTTCTCTCTACTCTTTTATTTATTTATTTTTGGGGCACTGGGGATTGAACTCAGGGGCACTTGACCACTGAGCCACCTCCTCAGCCCTATTTTGCACTTTATTTAGAGACAGGGTCTCACTGAGTTGCTTGGTGCCTCACTGTTGCTGAGGCTGGCTTTGAACTTGAGATCCTCCTGCCTCAGCCTCCTGAGCCCGTGGGATTACCGTCAGGCACCACTGCGCCTGGCTCGACTCTTAAAAAGTAGCTTCCTGGGTTTGCACACTTAACTGTGCCCAGTTAATATATTTAAGAAGAGTGGCCTTAAAATTATTATTATTTTTTGTGAACAAGTTACTTAGTGAATATGACAATTCACTTGGTGAATTGTCCCTTTGGTAAATTAGCTTTGGGGGACTTACTTTCAGTCAGTAGGCCCAGGTCTGTCCCACTGTGAGACCCAGGGAATCCAGGTTGGGGCGGCTGTGCCTTGCTCTGGGACTTCGCAGGACACCCTTGGGGGATGGCCTGTCATTCCAGGAGGGGTGGTGGACATCCGGGCTCTGAGTTACACAGCCTGTGGCGGGGTCACCTCCCCTACTGGCCTTGGATGGGCCTGACATGTCCCTCTGAACCTCAGTTTTTAAATCTGTGGCCTGGAGATGAGACCCTGCAGGGCGGTGATGACTGAATGAAATGGAGACGGTCACTCGGCCCCGCCCAGCGCCCCAAGGAGGCCTCCTCTGCTCAGTGCCGGGTGGTTTTGAGCAGTCCCTGTGTCTGGGATTGTCACCTTCATTCCCACGGTGGCCCAGGGAGAGGTGGAGAGGGGAGCCCCTGCTCTGACCCCACAGCGGCCCTTTGCCTGCGGGTTCTAGGGCCCGAGGGGCTCTGGGCCTGAAGATGCGGGTTAGAAAGGCGCTGGCAGCCCCCTCCCCACGCCCCCCCCACCCGGAGGCCCAGGGCCCCGCCCACCTGCCGGCCCCGCCCACCTGCCGGCCCCGCCCACCTGCCGGCCCCGCCCACAGGTGTTCCAGCAGTACCCAGAGTCCCGGCCGCTCACCATCAGGATCCAGGTGCCCAACCCTCCCACGGTGACGCTGCAGAAGGACAAGGCGCTGGTGCAGGTGTTCGCCACCTCTGAGGTCGTGGTGTCCCAGCCCAATGACGTGGAGACCACCATCTGCCTCATCGACGTGGTGAGTGCCTGGGCTGGGCCTCAAGCCAGAGCCACGTCCCCCCCCCCAGCTCCCGGGCCCTACCACTCCCCACAGGCCCTGCCACAGGACCCTGACCACCTGCTGCCTTCCTGTCCCCGCCCCCAGGGCTTGAGATCAAGTGAGCGCTTCTAGTCTGGGAAGGGGGTTTCCTGCTGGAGCACGACAGGCCAGGTGTGGGGTCCTTTTGGACATCATCAGATGACAGATTAGAAGAGCCAATTCTCACCCAATCTGAACCCCGCTGTGTGACATTCCCGTCAACAGCCCAAATGTCTGAGCCAGCTCAACCCTGACACCAGACTCCATTGCCCCAGAGATGCAGCCCGACTTCCTGGCCCACAGCCTGGTCTGGCCGCATTCTGCTCCAGCCTCACAAAGTCCTCTCACCGGCTCCATCTCCAACCTTCTTGCTTTCCTTTTAATGCCAACCTCCTTCCTGCCTCAGGGCCTTTGCACATGCCCTCCCCACTACCTGGATGGCTCTCGCTCCCTCTTCTTCATCTAGTCAAACCCTACACAGCCTTCAGTCCTCAGTTCAAACACTGTTTCCTCAGGATGATTTCTCTTGACAGACTAGGTCCCTGTCACAGGCAACCAGCGCCCCTAGCTCTTCATCATGCAATCCCTATTATTGTTGCTAATTCCATTGCATGAATTTATTGGGGTTTATTTTTATTTTCAAAAATGTAACTTTTATCTGATCTTATTTATTAGAAGGAGGGTCAGGGGAGCAAAGAGGGATTTTCCTACAGCAAAGTTTCTGCTTGAAAAGGGAGATGAGTCTGGTCCTTTTATGCCCTATTCTAGGGGGCGGGGCAGTAATGATTGGCAGCAATGGTGCCCAATCCCATCTGCCATGGCTTTCCTAAAGCAAATTTCCTGGGCTTCAAGCCTCTCCCTCGGAGGCATCTCAGAGAGACTTGGTTAGCGTCCCCAGTGCCAGTCATGGGGATTCTGTGTCATTTGTCTTTGTGGGAGGTATTCACTCAGCTAACTCGCAAACACTGTTAATGTTGGTCCTTTATCATTCCTGACTCCTGCTTTCTCTGGGAGGTGGACCTACTGTGTGGGAGCCTTGTGCTTAAAGGGAGCCAGGCCAGGGCCCTGGAGCGAGCCCTGGTGACGCTCAGGGTCAGTGGGCTCCTAGCCAGCGCCCGCACAATAGCCCGACAAGCTGGCAGTGACGGTCACCTCTTCCTCCTCCCTCCAGGACACTGACCTCTTGGCCTCATTTTCTGTGGATGGGGATAAGCTCATGATCGATGCCAAGCTGGACAAGTAAGGGGTTTGCTTCCCGGTTCCCGCTCAGGAAGCCATCTTGGGGCTGTTGTAGCTGGTGCTGGCCCAGACGGCCACCAGGGGCACCAGAGGCCTCCTATGTCAGGAGTGACCTTCAGGGTGGGTCAGTGCAAGAGGCCGAAGAGGCAAAAATGGCCCATGTCTGCCAAGAGCTCCATCAGGGGCCGCCAGGTAGTGTGACTCAAACAGGAAGAACCAGCCACCATCAGCCGCGGTGTCCGCAATCAAGACACCCTGGATGCTGACGAACCAGGCTCTGCCACGGGCTCCCAGTGCACCTGGGAAGTCAGGGCTAGGATGCTCCTTTCTAAAGATGAGAAAACTAGGGCTCAGAGAGGTAGATTTACCTATTTAGGGCCAGACAGCAAGTACAGAGAGGGGCTGGGAGCCAACCCAGGTGAATGTGACCTGCTGCATTGATTGGTTAAAAGTGCTGGCTTTGGACTCCAGAATATGGGTCCAAATCCTGATGTGACCACTGTCTGGCCGCATGACATTGGCCAAGTGACTTCCCCTCTGAAGCTCCGTCTTCTCATGGGAAAATGGAGACCCCAGTCCTACTTAATAAAATTCCTAAAGATGATAGCTGTTATTTACTGGGTGCCTTCCACGTGCCGGGCATTGAGCCAAGTCCTAGGAGTGTCTTCGGTTAGTCGTTGACGTCAGCCTACGGAAGTAAGTACTAGGTGCTCATTTTGAGATTTAATGAGATCATGGGTCAAATTTTCAGCTCACGTTAGGTCATCGCAAGTTTTTCCTTTGATAAAAGCTCTGAGTCCAACCAGGGGGGACTCTGAGACGGTATCAGTCAGCCATCTGAGTTCCAAGGTGGCCACATGCAGCCAGGGGCCCAGCCGTGGGAAGGCCGGGGTTCCAGCAGGCAGAGCACGGGCGGACTCTGCAGAGAGGAAAAGCACCCGGGCGTTGTGGCAGGAGGGGCCGAGGAGGGCTGGCGTCGGCGTCCGGAGGAAGAAAACGCGCTCAAAGCACCGAATCCTCTTCTTGTTACCCATAGCTGTCATTTGGTCCGAGCAGTCTTGCGCTCTGCAGAGAGGCACAGAGAGGCGGAGGGCCTTGGCTGAGGTCACACAGCCAACATGTGGCAAAGCCACAACAGGCACCTTGCCCACTCTGAGCACAGCGTCTGGCCCATGGTTACCGCTCCGGCCCATGATTCCCCTCAACTCCCCCAGGACCAGGGGCTCCCAGAGGTCATGGGTGGAGGGCCTCAGACAGTTGTGGAACCCAGCACCTCGGGCTCTCATAATGGCTGCTTCTAACGGGCTGACATTATCACCCGCAGGACCAACCTCAACCTCCGGACCTCGAATGTGGGCAACTTTGATGTAAGTGCCACATCGGGCCCAGGGAGCATCCCGGGCTGGGGAAAGCTCCTCTGGGGACGGCCTCTCCCCGGGGCCAGAGAGGCTGGGACTCCAGCAGGTGGCCGGCCTCCTCGTGGACGCAGAGATGGGGAAGCGGGGACACAGGGGGAGGGCACGGGGTCGGCCACCTGCTGCTCTGTTTTAATGGGGGACCCTTAGTGCACATCGGTGGGGACAGCCATGTCCTAGGGGAGTCAGGAGGCCACTGACCCCTGTGTGACTTGAGCATTACCGGCCACTCTGAGCCTCAGTCTCCTCCTCTTAGATCAACAGGGCTGGGTTTGTGTTCATCCTCATTTTTACTCCCAGGTTCTGGAATCCTCTTTCCAAGGACCCGGGACTCTGAGACATTCAGGTTCCAGGGCCGGGTCCTGTTTCATCTCTGTTCTTGGGTCCCTGCACCTCACCAAGGCCTCGGAGTCAATCTCTCTCTCTCTCTCTCTCTCTCTCTCTCAAGAAAAGCTGACAGCTAAGCCCTTGCTTGCTTCCTGGGGTGACTGGGCAGATTCGTCTCTTGTTCCTTGTTTTTGAGTTTCTTGAACTCAGACCTGTGCAGCCCGTGAAATCCGTGTCCCCAGCTCATTTTAGATGGAGGACTGTCCGGCTCTCCCTGGCTGGCAGTTTCTCACTGGGTCCTCACAGCCTTCTCAGGATCTGGGCAACTTTCCCATAAGGAAGCTGACGTCAGGGAGGTTCAGTGACTGGCCGGAGGGGACGGAGGGCTGGAAGTTGCAGTGGGCTGAGTGGCGGGCGCTGAGCACCCTGCAGATCTCTGACATGAAGGACTTTCACAACCAGCGTAAGGGAGGGTCAGTCCCTCTTGTCTTCAGACGTGGAAGCCAAGGTTTAGAGACGTTAAGGGAGGTGACACAGCTGTCCCTTGCCATCCATGGGGGCATCGGCCCAGGGTCTCCCGAGACACCGAGGTCCCCATGTGGACAAGGGCGTGGCGTCTGCCTGGGGCCTGCTCCACCTGCAGCATCTCCATCCTCTCAGGATGGCTGTGTGGCGCCCAGGATGTCAGTGCCACGTAAACGCATTCACAGGCCACGTGGGACATTCCCCTCAACGACAGATCAGAGACTGTGCTGGTCTCATAGGGCAAAACGGCCTAGTGACATTGAAGCCATCTTGGTTTATGAAACACACTGTGACGCTCACATGGGGACCACATTCCCAGGAGCCTCCCCGTTGTTAAGTGACAGGTGACAGTTGTTAGACCGCACTGTGGGAGTGATGGCAAGAGAGCCTGTGCCCATCCAGGATGGAGGGAATTTGCTTTCAAATATTTGGGATCCGCGGTTGGTGGCACCCACAGGTGCAGAATGCGCGGGTGACAGGATGGCTCAGAGGGCGCAGGAGGCCGGCCTCTGGGCGCCTCCCCTGACCCTGGCTGTGTCCTTGCGGGCTGACCTCGGGAGCTGAGGGTCAGAGGTGAAGGGGGCTGAGCTGGGATGGAGCGGGGGTGCTGCCGCAGGGTGCAGGGCCTTGGAAGGGTGCTTCAGGGCCGGCCTCCCTCCACCCAGGTTCCAGCCTCCAGGGGAGCCGCTCCACCTCCCTGGGCCCCGCCTG